TTGTCATCAAAATTAAATAAGTAAATAAATAAAACAAATGGATACGTATTTACAACAGAATAAATGTATAACTTTTATTATTGTATTACTTTTAATGCCATGTTTATCTTTTTTTTTTCTTGACAAAGGAATATACTGTTAAGGTATACCTGATAAGAAGAACTGATATAACTGATTAGAAGAAACTCACTTGTTATCTATTGCTTTGCAATTAGTATTTAAATGAGTTGCTGCGACTGTGACATGCAGATAGATTCTCTGTAGATCATGTGTATAAATGCTGAATGTTTGGACCTAATAACGGGGCTTAAGAATTGTAACTGAATATGTGACTCTGTGGTTATATTCCCACTCCCATGCATCAGTGACAAGTGAAATATTAGAAGAACCTGTATTGGGAGGAACATGGACCCCTATAATACGTGTTTACATTGACCCAACAAACGGTCACATTAAAAAAAAATTACCAAGGTGTTGTCGTGTTTCTATAGATTGTTAATACGAGCGTTCGCTCCTGCGTGCGGTGAGAATTAATGTTCGTGGGCATGTTTTTGCATGTGTAGGCCTAAAGCTGCATATATGAAGACGGGTTCGTGTGTGTCCTTATGTGCACTGGTGTGTTTGACAGAGAGAGAGAGAGAAAGAGTGAGAGAGAGAGCACTCAAAAATCTATTTCACAAAACTACAGGATTATAGACATTGAGGCAGGTAACTGTCGTTTGCTTCTTCCACTTTGTTAATATATCTTTTCCAGAGAACCCCAGACGCTCAGGAATAACCGCATACAGAGATGTGGGCACAGATATTACCAGGACTGGAGGTAGATATGGAGAGGTGTTAGCCTATTGAATTATTTATTATGATGGATGTAGTGACTTTTTTCTGTTAACCCATATAAATTTATTTATTATCAGGTGTTTACCTATCAAAGTAAAAAAAAAAACACTAGCTATCACACTATCTGCCCTGTTGTTGTCGTCGGCAGTACAAAAATACGAACGTTTTTCACACCATTGTATTATACTTACAGGACCCACAAGACTTAATGGAAGACTGATAGCAACCATGGATGTCGGCACACAAACAGATGACTGTAAGTGTTAAATATTATTAATACCTTTTTAATTTTGTAAGAATGTGAACACTTTCCCTATCTTTCTACCTTTTATTTTTTCATTTTTACTGTCTGTTTCACTGACTGTGTGTCTGCTTGTCTGTCTGTTTGTCTGTCTGCCTGTCTGTCTGTTTGTGGTGTTGGCTCACGGTTAAAATACACTTTATCAAATGTAATGGAGTTGAAGTATGTCAGCACTATCCCCCATTACTCACTAAGTCACGTCATTTTCAGAAAATTCTGGACATGGGGGTCAGTCTGACCAAGCAGTCCACCCAAGAAATTGTAACAGAGAACGAACGCCCTGTGGTGACCCTCGTCCCATGTGACCCCACTGACCAGTGTGACCATAGACTGGACACTGACAACACCAGGAAGATATAGAGAGCACCTGCTGTCTTTATATTGCCATAGCAAACAACACGGTTATATAGAAACAGCTTCTAAACAGTGCAATTATAACAAAAAGTTAATGTAATTTATTATTCTTAATTATCATCTAACGATATCTAAGGTATTTTAGATTATAGCTGCTATTAGAAAGTTATTCATGCATCATTTTTCTTTTGACGTGTACCAAACTGTTGATAAAATTTCGGTCATATTGTTGACCTAAGCAACTTTATGTTTTGCCAGTGCGGGATTCTTTCGTCAAATTTCTCTAGGAAAATGGGCTGCACATTTAGATAAATAGTATTAATACAGGGCGTCTCCTATTATTAAAAATAGCTAAATAACTTGTCTGTTATATGGGTTAGAAAGTTTTAAAAATACCAGCATAGAACATGTAACTTCATTGCTTTTTAATAAATAAAGTTTGGTATTCTAGTACTGCTCTTGCCCTATTTGCCCAAATGCAGTCAATAACCCCAGTGCCATTTTTAAGCATTTTTGCTTTCTTTAATTTATGTTTCATTAATTTATTAATATTTCTCATTAAATTAATTTTTTTGGGGGGTGGGGTGGGGTATTAGCTTATTTGTCATGTTTTTTAGCTACTGGCATTTGTAAGAAAATAACACCTTTCTTTGGGCGTTTTTCCATTTTAATTTTTAAGCCATCTTGCTCAACACCGAACCCTTGACCTCCATAATAGAACGCTGTATACTGTCTGCATTGAAAATGACGTATTCGTAAACACCAATACTACTGAAATGGGCATAAATGTAGAGGGGCGGATCCAGAAAGGGGGGGTCCGCAAATGCGAAGCCGACCCCCCCCCCCCCCCCCCCCTTCCACTTCCCAATTGTCGTGGTTTTGGTATTTTAGAAGGCGAACGGCATCATTTGGTACGGTTTACACTATGATTCTACTGGTCAAAATTCTAATTTAAAGAGGGGACCAGAAATCGAAATCGGGGGCCCTCTAAATCTGCCACTGTTAAATAAAATAGGAATCCCCTTAATATGAAGGTAAAATAAATGTTATTCTAAGGAATCGCGACGGATTTACTTTTTACAACATAAAATCAACAGAACATTTCTAATATAAATTTTCAAAAAGACACCAGAGAGCAAATGAAATAAAATCAACCATACGGTAGGCTTTATCGATTTCACCTAATTGGTTTTCTCAAACATCGCACTTTACACGCATGCGCAGTTGTTTTAGGTCTCTGTAGACGGGCTTTTATAACCTAAAATTAGCCAAGTACAGAGTGCGCAAATAGAGCAAAAAGGCTCAAGACAGGCATTGAGGTAACATTCACTCTGCCAGAAATTAATTTTGTGACAGCAGTGCAATAACATGACGGACAGTCAGACAGCGTGCGCCATGGAAAGTCGTATGTATTACTTTTAATTCCATGTTTATTTATTTATTTAATTTTTTTAACAAAGGAATATTACTTGTTTACATTGACCCAACAAACGATCACATTAAAAAAATATTACCAAGATGTTGTCGTGTGTCTGTCGATCGTTATACGAGCGTTCGCTCGTGCGTGTGGTGAGAATTAATGTTCGTGCGCGTGCTTTTGCTTGTGTAGGCCTATAGCTGCATATATGAAGACGGGTTCGTGTGTGTCCTTAAGTGCACGGGTGTGTTTGAGAGAGAGAGAGAGAGATGGAGAGAGAGAAAGCACACTCGAAAATCTAGTTCACAAAACTACAGGTTTATAGACATTGAGGCAGGTAACTTTGCCCCTCCCCCCCTCCCCGTGCTTTAAAAATCGCACGTACGTCCCACTTGTGAATTCATTGTGAATTCCGTGCGAGGGGAGCACACACACCATCATCAGAACTGAACAAACTGGAGTGCATTATATCAGACGGAGTTAGATACTACACTTTGTTATTATATCTATTCCAGAGAACCCCAGACGCTCAGGAATCATCGCATACAGAGATGTGGGCACAGATATGACCAGGACTGGAGGTAGATATGGAGAGGTGTTAGCCTATTGAATTATATTTATGATGGATGTAGTGATTTTCTTCTGTTAACCCATATAAATTTATTATTTATCCAGTGTTTAGTTATCAAGATTTAAAAAAAACACCAGCCCTCACACTATCTGCCCCGTTTTTGTTATCAACAGTCCTTCAACTTAAAAAATACGAACGTTTTTCATACAGTTGTATTATACTTCCAGGACCCACAAGACTGAATGGAAGACTAATAGCTACAATGGATGTCGGCACACAGACAGATGACTGTAAGTGTCAAATTATGGTCCCTTTTTTAAATATAAAAATGTGCACACTTTCCCTATCTCTCCCCCTTTCTCCATTACTCACTGAGTCATGTCAGTTTCAGGGAATTCTGGACATGGGGGTCAGTCTGACCAAGCAGTCCACCCAAGACATTGTAACAGAGGCGAGACACCCTGTGGCGACCCGCGTCCCATGTGACCCCACTGACCAGTGTGACCAGTGTGACCATAGACTGGACACTGACAACACCAGGAAGATATAGAGAGCACCTGCTGTCTTTATATTGCCATAGCAAACAACTCGATTATATAGAAACAGCTTCTAAACAGTGCATTGTAATTATAACAAAAAGATAGTGTAATTTATTATTCTTAATTATTAGCTAACAATATCTAAGACATTATGGATTCAAGCTGCTATTGGAAAGTGATTCATGCATCATTTTTTTTTATTTCTTTATTATTTTTTTTTTTATTTATTTTTATTTTTATTTTTTTTTTTGACGTGTACCAAACTGTTGATAAAATTTCGGTCATATTGTTGACCTAAGCAACTTCATGTTTTGCCAGTGCGTGATTCTTTCGTCAAAACTTCTTTAGGAAAATGTGCAAGGGCTGCACATTTAGAAAAATAGTATTTCTACAGGACGTCTCCTAGTAATTAAAAATAGCTTAATAATGTCTCTAGCATAATTAACCAGCAAAGAATATGTAACTTTATTGGTTTTTAATAAATAATTTAATAAAATCTAGTACGCTCATGCCAAATTTGCCCAAAAGTTGTCAATAACCCAAAAGCCGTTTTTAGGCATTTTTGTTTGAATTTATGTTTCATTAGTTTATTAATATTTTACATTAAATTTAATTTTTTTTGGGGGGGGGTTGGGGGGGGTGGTAGCTTATTTGTCATGTTTAGTAGCTACTAGCTAAAAGATGAAGCCCTCTTCCAAGGTTGTTCTTGACAATTGACGTTTGCTTAACATGTAATTTCAATACTAGATTCATGTTGGTTTTCCTGAGGGAAATGAGACGTCTTTGCGAAAAAAAACGCAATTTTTCAGACCTTTGGTAGCAAAAACTATTCAGATCTCAGCAGACACGCATCACGTTAGATTTCGAAATGATACCTGTATTCTACATCTTTGCTGTAAATCTATTGTTCGTTCTGAAAGGAAGTAAAACGCTTCCAACATCAGTCTTTTGCAAAAGTTTGTAAAATTCCACCTCCCTTCTTTAAAATGCAGCACTTAATTGCAATCCACCGTCTACCGCCACTATGGAACCCGTCATAAACCGCGCGCTGTCTGAAGCAACGGCGACTATGATCTCACTTATATCATCTGGCTTGCCATATCTTCCTATGGGGTGAACTGCCTGTAGCTGCCCCGTTAGCTTAGAGAAAATGAAAAAGAAGAATTTCGTTATTAAAGATGGCGTGATGAAAATAAAGATTATTAATAATATTTTTATTAATGTGACAGGTGTTTCACAAATAGACAACAAAAATACAGTACAAAAACACCAAGGCACAAATGGCTTATATGTCACACAGATAAATGGATTAATTAATTAGCGTTAGTCCACTGCCAGTAATACGAAACAAAAGTGAAAGGCACGCTGAACGCTTTAACTTGTTCTTTCCAGTGAGTTACCACTAGAAAAATTTCAATATTCTTTCGATTTATATTTTTCTTAAATATCTAAATATTGTAGAGGTAATAACATCGACTTTTTGCTTTTGTTTCAGTTAATCGTAATTTTGTTTAAATCCCACATTAAGGGAAGCCTCTGCTAAGCCACTTTGAAGTAACAACAGACAGACAAAGTATTTAAGACAACAGAAATTATTAAAGATCAACTTGGCAATAAGAATTTTCCTTTTACTCTGCAAAACGTTTCAAAGGAGACTTTACAAAAAAAAAAAAGTCGCGGTGTCCTTACTGCTTTAATGGTCTCCGGGTCGACCCCTGCGTTAGGTAGGATGTCTGTGTCCACGTAGCCAGGACTGAAAAACAGAAAACTATACTATATATTCTCTGCTACTATAATTCTCTACTTTACCATATATAATAATTATCTACTACTATATAATCTCTACTAAACTAAATATTCTCTGCGAGAGGCCAGTTGGATAAACAAAATTTATCGCTGGACAGTACGGAAATTGCATAGAATTAACAGTTGCGGATTTAGGCCGTCTTCTGGGTCTTCCGGAAAACGGTCAGATTTTCAAGTTTACATTGACGGGTATCTAATTTTTTCTGTCAGAAGACGGTCAAAATGGTGGATGGAACAACAAAGACAATTTGGAAGACTGTCAGAAAATATTTAGTCAGAAAAATATCTGTGGCTATCTAATGAACTAAATTAACCAGTGGTCCCGGTAGAGGGCAGTCAGTCACAAGACGGTCTGTTTAAATTCGTCACTGCACTGAGCTTCAGTAATGACTACATATGATTAAACGATATATACAAAGTAGAAATGGTATGTTTATGACGTTAATAAACACACTGGGTATGATCAATAGTGAATGAAATATGTACAAATAATAAAGCCTTTACCTGATGCAGTTGACACGCACTTGTTTGGGGCCCAAATCTATGGACGGGAAAAATAAACACTATACTACACACTTTCAAGTACAAGTAGAGCTGTAACAGCCCTGGTCTACTAAACTGATTTAGTTACCCTCAATGGGTTAATTTAGAAAGTTAAAAATTGCGCGAAATGCGCACAGAATTAGCCAGAAAAATATCTGTGACCACCTAATCAAACAAATCTAAATTTATATTCAATATACGCTGCCTTTCGTACGGCATTAGGATGTGTAAATATGCTACATAACATAGTAACAACAGAGTAATGGTATACACCTCTTTTCAGCAAGGAGTTTTAACACTCCTTGTTTTCAGAAAGGTGCTAAATTTGAAGAATTATTTTAGAAAAGAAGACGTCAACTCACGCAGGGCTGCAGACTTTGTGAAATGCTCCAGTGCTGCCTTGGAAGTACCGTAAGTAAACCTCATGCTTCCCTGAAACAGGAAAACGTTATCCTTATGAAAAAAAAAAAAAAGAATTAGAAAAAAAAAGAAAACTAAATTTCTCATCAACCTCTGGCTCCAATAAAAATACCCTATTAAATATTCTATGATGCTAAGAGATGGGTTCTAATATAAATGGAGTGAATAATAGCTTAAGATGTATAGTCCGGTTGCTTAGGCCAAAAAAATGGCCAAATCGTGACACGGCGGATAAAAGCACCAAATTTTGCATGTGGGTACCTTTTGACATACTTAATCAAAGTAGAGCCGTAGCCCACGGAAAAAATTTACCGTTTGGCCAAAAAATCCAAAATGGCCGCCAATTTGTGAAATTATGTAGAAATATATACATACCTATGTTGATTTTTATAAATTAAGTATTTTCTCAATATTTTCCACATCCTTATTACCCATATTATGCATATGTGTCAGGTAACAAAGTAGTGTCCTTGGACTTTTTGAAAAAATCCAAGATGGCCGCCATATGGCATAGGAATACTAGATCTTGTACACAGGTTTTCAACTAACTAATGCCAACTAGGAAGATGCATTGTCCACTATCTAATTGTTTCTTTTTACACAAATTATATATTTGTGGTGAGTAACTAACCTTTATTCTCAGGCATTTCGAGAAAAATCCAAGATGGCCGCCATATCAAAGGAATACTAGTATACACATAGGGCTTCTTCTGCCATGGAGATTTAATATTAATTGATAAATTAGGTTTGTTTCTGAGTATTTTCCACATCTTTTTAATTCACATAATATATATATATGATGAGAATGTTATGTGTATCCTTTTTGAAAAGAAAACAAAACAAATTGGCTGCCATTAGTCATAAAAGGTGGGGTTCACTTAATATCTGTGGGAGATAGGCTTACATATAAAATGAAGCTGAATTCAGTTGTTATTCTGTTTTTTTTAGTATTATTATCCCATGATACATATCTGATAGGTAATTAATGTCCATATTTTTTCATTTTGGGAAAATCCAAGATGGCCTTCTTTTCCCCATAGGAAAACTGGTGCATTAGATTTTATAGGCCATTCTAAGGCAAATGAGGGTAATCATGATATTTTGTCAAAATACTTAAGGGTATACACTTGTTACCCACCAGATAGATATCTCAAAGTCCAAAAAGAATGTGGGAAATACCGAGAAACAAAATTAATTTTACATTGAACCCAATATCTCTCTGGCTGTAGTTGAATGTACTATTCCTATTGTGAATTGCAGCAATCTTGAATTTTCTCAAATGCGCAAGATGCACACTTGCTACACACCACGATTTATATAGAGTAAGGTTAATAAGGATGTCAACATGTTTGAACATCAAACGGCTTTATTTCATGTTGGAATCAATGCCTGAACTGTTCCATTAATTGACACCTATTTGCATTTGAATGATATATTCCTATAACAACTGGCAGATATTTTGGGTTTTCTCCGAATAATACTCAAGGATACATATACTTTCTACACACACAGAGTCTTTCATAAGGATAAATAGGATATGAAAAACATTTAAAAATGATCTAAAGTTAACTGCATTTAAATTGTATTCATTGTATCTCTGGCATTATTTGATTATGTGTTCGAGTATTCTAATGACAAAAGGCAGACATCTTGAATTTTTTAAAGAATACCCAAGTTACACACATGCTACAGACCAGGTATACATCATAGTAGTAATAATAAATGGAATGAAAAACATAAATTATTTTTAAAACAAACCCATGGTAATGTAATTGTATAATAAACCATATGCCTCTCTAGCAGCATTTGAAACCCACCCATTTGTATTCCTATGTCAAATTGTAGCTATCTTGGATTTTCTCAGAATATCCAAGGATGTACACTATTTACCCACCAGATATATATCACAGGACTAATAAGGATGGGCAAAACTTGATAAGCAAACACAATTTCACCCTGGTAGTAGACGAAAAGCCATGGATGTGCAGTTGTAATTCCAGTAGTATTCCTATGGCCAATGACGGCCATCTTGGATTTTCTCGAAATTATCAAATATGCACCTTTATTACCTGCTAGATATGTATCACAGTGTAATAATTATGTGTAACACTAAAAAAAATAAACTGAATTTGATAGTGAATTAGCTGGCATTAGTTCCAACCTTTTGTAACACTAGAAGTATTCCTATGACATATGGCGGCCATCTTGGATTTTCTCAAAATGCCCAAGAATACATGTTAGTTACTCACCACATACATATTGTGTGGGTGCAAAGGGTGTGGAAAATACCAAGAAACAAACTTGATAGTGGAAAATTAATCTTTCCAGTTGCCATTAGTTGAATCCCCCGTATACTAGAATTCCTGTGGCACATGGCAGCCATCTTGGATTTTCCGAAATGCCCAAGAACACTTCGTAGTTACTCACCACAAACATATTATGTGGGTGACAAAAATCTGAGAAACAGACTTAATTTGATAGTGGACAACGTATCTTTCTAGCTTGTATTATTTGTGCACTAGTATTCCTATGGCTGTTTCTATGGCATATGACAGCCATCTTGGATTTTTTCAAAAAGTCCAAGGGAACTTGTTTGCTATCTGATATATATGAATTAAATGGGTAATAAGGGTGTGGAAAACTCTGAGAAAATAATTTATTTGATAAAAATCAACATAGATTTGTACACATTTGTATAAAATTCCATAAATTGGCGGCCATTTTGGATTTTTTGGCCAAACGGTAATTTTTTTCCGTGGGCTACGGCTCTAATTTGACTTAGTATGTCAAAAGGTACCCACATGCAAAATTTAGTGCTTTTATCCGCCATGTCACGATTTTTTCCTTAAGCCACCGGACTAGTAGGCCTATCTGTAAACTTGGAAAATTAAGGTCCTAAAAGCGAGCTGAAGAACAAAAAAACATGGCAAAAACCGGGTCGTTGTTGAAGATCTGGGGTTCAGTGGTCAGCAGCACTTATTTTTACAGTTCATTAAATGTACTTTATGCATGAATCTGAAATAACATTTAAGATAATAATGATAATAATAATAATATTATAATAATAATAACGACAGTAGAGAGAAAAAACTTACTGGCACGGCGGCGGCTGTGCTCGAAACATTCACTACATTTCCTGTAAAAGATGAAAGAAAACAATTTTAATTTTTTTCTGGTAATGTCTTGTACCTGAATTGCCAATTGAATTCAACCATCGGACGAAGTATAAATTTGCGTGGCGTGCATGATAACTTACATTATGTAATGGAGGAAGACACATCATTTAATGATAAATAACAAAATTATATCAATTCATTTTAATGAATTTATTAACATAATTAAACCTCACCGCAAGTTCAGACAGGAGCTAGACTTGCAGAAAACATGGATATACAAATCGTCCGTGGAAACTAAATCACTCATCTTTCAATATTAGCCTACCTCAGTAAAATACACATTTTCATGCACATGCACAAACAGACATGCGAAATCACGCGCGTGCACACGCACAAACACACAAAGCACACGAACACTTTACCTTTAGTAGCCACAAGATACGGAACAGCGAGGTGAGTAAGATACACAGCCGCACGGAAATTAATATTCATAACACGGTCAAAGTTGGCCATGTCCAGATTTTCTATAGTATCCATCAAGAATACCCCGGCATTGTTGACCTAAGCAGAAATAACGTTCTGACACCAATGTAACTATAACGTTGAAGAAGTTTTTTATGTGCCTGGGATCTCTTTAGAAGTCATAATTAATCCACGCCCTACTACATACATTGTTGGCAGGGTAATCTAGACTGGCCTTTATTTTTTGACAGATATTTCAATTGTTTTAAAAAATCAAAGAAGTAGAGGCCCATGTGACACAATTGAGAAATCAAAGGAATAAATATCTCAAAGTTACTATGTTAAAATAAAATAGAAATATTATGAAGGCTGTTCATATATTAAGTTTCTATTCAAGTAGAATAAGTGAATATTTACCAAAATGTCTAACTGATTAAACTTTTCGATAGTTTTTTCTAAGATATCTGATGCAATTTCTTCCTGGGATATATCTCCTGGCACAACAAACACCTGAAATTATATATATAGATATTTTGAATATTACAATTCACTATGTATTTTCCTCTTCCTGAACCAACCAAATTCTTCGTCTTTAAGCAGAGTACGTGTGCATGTCAGCCGCATGTGAATGCAAGTTGCGTCTGCATTTCTGTCTGAGTGAATGTACTTGTAAGTGTGTGTTTTTTTATAATGAGAGAGAGAGAGACCATTGCACTGCCTGAGTGTTTGTACTTGTGCGCGGGTGTGTTTTCATGATGAGAGAGAGAGAGAGAGAGAGAGAGACCATTTCACTGTTCAGACCAGTTTCCCTGCATTTCGTGGCGGTTTCTTCCAGTTTCTCCACGTTTCGTCCACTGAGTGCCAGACGACATCCGTGTTTAGCGAACTGCGCCGCCACCGCGGCTCCTATCCCGCCACTGGCGCCTGGAATGTTTTAATTTGAAAATAACATCCGAAGAGCGACTGGTACAAATCATTGCAAACACTGTAAGACTGTTTCTGCGTCGAGAACGACGTCTGTCTCCCGTTACTTTGCACAGGCAGTCTTATATATATTTATGTATATCTAACTGGTACAGGTGAAAATCACCCCATATTGTGACACTGTGCTTTCAACTATTTCCTCCATGTACTTATCATATGTGTCCCCGGACTTCCAATCCTAAGACAACATGTACTTACCACTTCTCTAACACCGGTCGAAGGATTCATAGGATCATGGTTAAGCCCACTACTTTTCGTTTTGAAAACCTAGGACATTAAAGCAGCTATAGAATATTCAAAATCATACCTGTGATAAGAACCACCTTGTCTCGTAGACTGGCCATAGTTTATCTGCCGGGCAGAAGTGCGTCTGAACAGTCGAAAGTTATCGCCAAATAAACAGTGTTATCTTACAGTTTTGGTTCTAATATGTCGGGGACAAAAAATTCATAAGCATTTTCGGTAATTTCACTTAGAATGGGTTCCCATGCCTAGATCGATCCATCTGGATCGGTCGAACTCCCTGGGGAGTATCATTAAATTGCTATCAACATGGGCGGAACCAGGATTATTTGAAGGGGGTCCGCGGATGCAAAGCCCCGCTTCCCCCCCCCCCCCCCCCCCACACACACACACACACACACGGCATTTTAGAGGGCGAACGGTGCTATTTGGTACGGTTTGAGAACCATGATTCAGCTAGACACAATTCTAATTTAAGAGGGGACCAGAAATCGAAGGGGAGGGGGGCAGGACCCCCCCTGACCCCCTCTAAATCCGCCACTGACCGGAGTAAATGTCTACCGAATTAGCTAGGGGGAAAAGATAATTACCCCCTAAGAGCTTTACTAGGAGTGACGGAAATTTAAGCCGGTTGTGTTGAAAGCAATTTAGTGAGACTCCCCAGGGAGATAGAGCGATCCAAATATCTGTGGGAATGGTCCCTTTAATGAACAAAGAGTAAAATTTAAATGATTGAAACTGCATGGTTAATGTTATCAGCGTTGGATTTCCTCACAGCGATTTAAGCCTACACGAATATTTTCACCCGAATGGAAAGTGGTATTAATGCGTTATCCAACCTCGAAATACACAACGGTGTCCGTATTTTGAGCCTGTTAGAAAAATTTCATTCATTGCTTAATTTGCTCGGCAACGTACATAATGTGAAGTCGTTTTGATCCATAATACATTGGAATAATTAATGCCTTCGGCAAAAGTATTTCATAAGCATTAAACAAAAATTTTAAAAGTTAGAAGGGCCTATCCAAAGCATATGCCCTTACACTGACTACTAGCAATGAGCAAATGTAAAAAGAATGAACCATTATTTTCTTGAGGAGGACACGACCGAGAATGCGTTAGTTGCACTGGCGTCACTAGCACATTCATCTTGTACTGGGTAATACTCTGTATAGTCGGTACACATTAGTTCCCCATTTCATGAAAAATGGCGCTTGGAGGAAGGCGTCGTTCAAGTTTTCCGTAATTTTCCTGAATTGTGCGGAAACTTGCAAGTATATGTGGTATGTTCTCTTTCGTGCAGAAACATGAATATATAGGGATTATTGAGCAATCATGTGATTTGCGATCGGTTTGCTACTTTGACTTATATAAGTATTTTAATAACACGTGTGTTTGTTTTTGTTTTGAAAAGTGCAGATGGACGTAAGCTTATGGAACAGTGGTTACCAAAGAGGCCCAGGAATATCAGACAAGATCTGATGTTGCTTAATTAGGATCAGTTTATAGTAGAAATGTTGTAGCAGGTGTGAGTGTACAGAAAACGCCCTAGTTCGGCTGCAGTTGAACGTGGCAATGTTACTTTAAATACCGTTCTTATGCTACGGCACAGACTTCATTCTCACTAGTAGAAAAGATCGGCAATACAATTTAGCTTGTATCTCTTCTCCCAGAGTTACAGATTCTCTTAATTTTTTTATTATCAGTTAAATATGTGCAATGATATACCATTGATAGCTGAGATAAGAATTATTACTCTACCATATCATTTAGTTTGTCACAAGTGTTTAGAATAATATTTGCACAATTTGTCACAAATGGTGAGATTAACATTTCTGTCAAACAATAATTACATGGAATAAAAAGCTGAGATTAAAGAGACTGCTGAAGCATTTTGTAAATATATTTAATCAATATTATTCATTTCAGGAAATGAGTGCATTGAACGGTGCAATGTCAAAATGAACCGAGCAAACAGCAATACACAAAACAACAGAATTCCCCAAATGAGCACCAACAACCAATTCTCAAAGCCAGTAATATCTGCACCAAATGCAGCTCCAGTGCAAAGACAATCTTCTCGCGACCAGACAGCATTATTACAAAATCAGTCCTTGAAAATAGGTCAAGGTCAGGGTCATTTGCATAATGAAGGCCAAGGTGAAGGTCAATCAAAGAACAGTCATCAGAATCAGGCTCAGTCACAAATGAGTCCCCCACAGTCAACAAATGAGTCAGAGGCAGAGCTGCCTATGGAGCTACTCCAAGCTGGCTGGAGGAGATTCTGGAGTAAGAGAGAAGGAAGACCATACTATTTCAACAAGCTGACAAACCAGTCTTTGTGGGATTTACAACAGCTCTTAGACACACAGGTTAGTAGACGGCAAGTGCTTGATTTGAAAAGAATCCTATTCAGATGCAACACTGATGTGTATGATGCTGACTCTGTCAAAACACTTATTTAAAAAAATTCACTGCAACAAAATGGTTTAGGGCAGTGTCAACATCGGGGGCAAAATAACAAAAATTCTGACTGCTAAGTCATTATCAAAGAACAAAATGAAATAAGGGGGCCACACTGATCCTGAAATATTCAAATAGACCCAACATGAACTATTGCATGCATAAGCTGGCCAAAAGGTTAAAATAAAGTGTTCTTCACAAGTTGGTCTTATCAGACTAATACCAGTTATGGTTTAAGTGAGTTAAGAATCCTACCTTCACCTATGAAAACCCTCTGCAATCCAGTTTTCTCTTTCAGTTGGATCCCCTATCAGACCCACTTGGCATTGCCACACCATCGCCCCCTCCCATGTCCCCCAGTGACATCCGCATGACGCGGCTAAGTGTGGACATCCCCTCGCCACAAGTAGGGAACAAGAGGCGGAGTAGTGGCGAGGCGCTGGCGAGTCCTGTGAAGAGGCCAATGCAACAGCCAGTCCCCATTATAAGGTAGGTGCAGGAGAAGAGTGAAGGAGAAGAGTGATGGGGTTTCCTCCAGGAAGTATATGATTTAAAGGTATATGTTAAACAGTGATGGAACCCTTGTTTTTCTGTTGCTTACCCTTTCATTTACTCCGAGTGGCAGAAATCCATTTTTATGTACAGACACAGATGTGTCTGTACATATTGCCATCACCTGCGTCTGTCGTCGCCGTTCATGTCGCCATCGCCATGCACTTTCAGCGTTATTTAATGGATTTTTATGTACAGACACAGATGTGTCTGTACATATAGCCATCATCTGCGTCTATCGTCGCCGTCGTCGCCGTCGCNGCTTCAATAGGCAATGCAGTCTGTTTGGTAAATTTTTCTGGCAATTTATCAGTTTTTTGTGAAAATTTAATTTTTCACTTATTTCCATCTTTATTTTCTGTTTTTTTGTCTGTACATTTGACAGCTTTGCTGCCTTGTTTCCCCAAATCTTTCTAAATCTCTAGAAAGAAATTTTATATCAACATATTATTTTTATCCATTTCTTTTTATTATTTCCCAGACCCTAATCTTCCTGAATCTCTAGACAAAAATTTTATAACAACATTATTTTTATCCAATTTTTTTCGTTATTTCCCAGACCCTGATCTTCCCGAGCCCCCGCGGAGGAAGGTGATGTGTTACCCCGTGTTGCTAGGCGTCCCCTGTCCCAGAATGCCCACGGTAGAGCATCACATCGAGGGCGAGACAACCTATGTCAGGTTCAAAGGTGAAACAATGAAGATTAATACGTCACATTTTCAAAAACTGGTAAGTGTTGGCATGTTTGAAATTAGGCTTCTTCCTGCAATTTTGAAACTTTCTAGTATTATTTTCAGTGAATTGTTGGGTGAACATATGAATTTTCTATTATCTTGTACAAAAAAACTTTGATTTGGGTACTATGACATGGTTTTTAAGGAGTATGTATCATAAAGTATGTGCTTAACAATTTTTATGTCAGAAAACATTTAAAATTTGGTCAATGATATGCTGAAAATGTGGTAATGGGGAAGAGATCCAATATTTGCCAAAGTTATAAGTGGGTGTTATTGTCTTTGTATATTCAACTTAGAAAGCAAAGAACAGTTATTATTGATATCCTCAAAATCAGGAATGGCTGCATGCAGTAGTTTTAGGTTTAGGATTATCAGTAATTTTATGGTTAAGAGTTTTTGTCTTAGGGTATACAAGTAAACTGAATGTAGGATCGCTGTAAAAACTAGTATTATTTATATGATGTATCTGAATTCAAGAGCAGTTATATAGGTGAAACTGTAAAGATTAATTTTATTATATATCTGAATTCAGGAGCAGTTGTATAGGTGGAACTGTAAAGATGACCCAAGGTTCGACAAATTTCTAGCAAGAGTTTGGTGCTTACTAAGGCGATATCAGGTAAATAACAATTGATGTCAGAGCCTGTTACATTTAAGATTTTTTTAAAAGTTATCTGCTTTTTGTTTTTGATGAAAGGTTTAGATTTTTTTTCAATTTTGCACAAGTTTCTTTCACTTTGGTAATGCTGAACAGGAAGATGCAGGGTAGAAAAGGTGTGATACCAGATGTTATTGCAGCTTAAATCTCTTATTCATCACGCAATTTCAGTTTTTACAGGTTTGTAATATTATTGTTTTGACAGACATTTATTTCTCTTCTACTTATTTCACAGGCTATGAGTGTTACTTGTTCTTTGTGTTATTTTATTAATCTAAATTGACTAAATTGAAAGTCTTTGTATGATTCATAAATATACTTTATTTGCAAATCTAAATGGGTGCTGTCTTGGATTTTTTTGATAATTCAGTACATTTGATTTATTTCTATACTTTATTTTCAGACCTACTTTGGGCCGCAGCAGAACGAAGGTTTCCTACTCCAGGGCGCACTACCTGTCCCAGTGTTTGAATGTCTCCATCGTCTGTTTGGGGTGACATTTGAGTGCTTTGCTTCTCCGTTAAACTGCTTCTACAAGCAATACTGCTCAGCGTTTGCAGACATAGACTCTTATTTTGGATCCCGGGGGTGAGGAGTGCATTTAGTCTCTTAATATTAGATCATAGCTGAAAGAAAAGACTTGATACTTAATAGCTAACACTTGTTATAATTGGGAACAATCTAAAAATATGTATGCCTTGTAAAGTTATCAAACTGTGATCAGCTGTCAGTGCACTTAGGAATTTGGGGACTGTTTAACAATGACATAATTATCCCAGAAATTATTGTGATGGCAGTTTTGCTATATCTCCATTTTGAATTTAGCAAAATAGACCAGAGACTGCCAAAGCAATAATTAGGTATCATAATAATTTATCACTTCAGGCTATATCACAATAATTTATCACTTCAGTTAATATCACAATAATTTATCACTTCAGTTAACATCACAATAATTTATCACTTCTGTCTATATCACAATTATTTATCACTTCAGTCTATATCACAACAATTTATCACTTCAGGCCCATCCTGGACTTCCATCCAGTCAGTGGCTCTTTTGAAGCGAATCCTCCATTTTGTGAAGAGCTGATGGAAGCCATGGTGGACCACTTTGAGGTAGAACTGCCAGTCAATATTGTTTCAGACAGAAAAATTCTCCCAAAGCAATGCTGTTATACACTAATTGGCTTAGTTAAATGTTTGGAGCAGAGAAATATGGCATGTTATTTTGGAAGCATTTCTGATATTTTGTAACATTATGTATCACCTTCGCTGTGACTCACTGATATTAAAGGGGCCCGCACACGGTGAGCATTTGGCGCGCGCCACTTGCGCTGCGCCATTTTCTCATCGTGTGCAGGGGTATTTTGGTGAGATTTTTGTCTCACGCGCGGCTGAGCAAAATTTCTCACGTGTTTGATTTTTTTGTCTCTTGAGGCAAATGTCTCAGCGTGTGCGGGGTGCAAGCGCCGATTGCTCACGCCATGCTAACAATGCGCATGTGCCAGTAGCCGGAAACAAACAAAAATGGCAGCCCCCAGCGAAGTCAACAAAAAAGTACACAGTTATAGTTAGTCTGATTGATTAACGTGGTCACCATTATCCATTACTATCAGAAAAAACAACAATATGTAATGTTTCCTTAATCACATGATCGCACAGTTCACGGTGCGTCCGAGAGGGGCAGGCCGGGAGGCATCTCTGCTGAGCAAAGAGCGCATCGTTTGAGGGGGAACTGAGGAGCGCGAGCATCTGGCGCAGCGCAAGTGGCTCGCCCCGAATGCTCACCATGTGTGGGCCCCTTAAAATTTACCACAAGCATGAAAGCATAATAAAAAACCTTAATGTTTCGCATAACTTTGGACATCCACATGCTAAAACTCATGAGGTTTTTAGATTTTTAATTGGCTATATATCCAAATGTTATAAGTTTAACAATGTCTCTGTATGTTCCAGAGTCTGCTGGCAGAGTCCAGTGAGCCGCTGTCTTTCATTGTGTTCATACCAGAGTGGAGAGATCCCCCTACAGAGGCCCTGGTCAGGCTGGAGAATAGCGTGTATGTTTACCCTCCCCCCTCCCTCTCTCTATCTCTCACACACACACACACACACTCTCTCTCTCTCTCTCTCTCTCTCTCTCTCTCTCTCTCTCACACACATGATGAGTAACTCCACAAGCAAATTACCCTTATCATCACAAATATGTTAATTATTGCCCTGGCATATTGCCTATCAAAATCCATAAAAGATCAGTAATTGAACTGAAATATTAAGGCATTGTTAACATATAATCATATTCTAAGTAGGAAAGTATCAGAAATGCCAAAAAAAGAAAACTTTTATGAAGAATTTTTATGTAAATGATTCACCTGTTGTGTTTTGAGGTGACTAATTGTTTGTTCCCTTCTCATAATATTGTATCTTTTGATAGAGAAATCCTATCCTTTCACTGCTTCAGGTTCAAACGTGGTCAGGTAACCATCCCGCCATTTGAGCACGAATACCGGCACGGCTTCCAGCATATATGTCCCAAGTAAGTGCAAGCAAATGGAAATCTACACAAATTGTTTTATAGTGTCTAAAACCAAAATTAACTAAAGATTTTATTGTATGCAGTTTGTGAAAATTTGGATTTGATCAGTGATTTTGATTTATAAACCTAGAAAATAACAAAAATGCACTACTTATTCTGGTAAAGGTTTGTGTAGATTTTTATTTAGCTTCACTTGAAACATTTTAAATAATTATTTTAAATGTCTCTCTAGTTACTGTGATAAAAGTACATGCATAAAACCTGTGGTTCAGAATTAACATTTATTAACAATTTTCAAAGATCAGTTAAACTATTTTCAAGTTGTATGACAGAAACATTTTAAGATGCCAATATCACATTGATTTATATCATTGTTCAGTGTTTTATTAATATTTATAAATTTAATCTTATTTCCTCTAGAACTGAACTTAATGTTAAGTCCAGCCATGCCACATTGGTGATATTTCTACAGAACATTGAATAACTCATTGATTTATAACAATGTTCAATATATTATTAATATATGCAAATCTTATTTTTTCTAGGACTGAGCTTAACGTCAAGTCCAGCCATGGCACCTTGGTGATATTTCTCCAAAACGAAGCAGGGTTTGTAAAGTGGGCGCCCACCACAGAAAGAGTGAACGAACTCCTACTGGCATACAGGCCAAAGGACAAGCTGAACTAGTGAAATCTGTCCAAGAGTCGACTGAAATGACTGAATCGCTGCTATCACATTGACCAAAAGAAAAAGAAAACGTCTGAGATGATCCATGATATCCAGGTTGTTAAAAGGTCAAGGTCATTGATGCAATGGATCCAGTGGGACAAGGTAAAGCGACATAGGGAAAGGTAGACTCAGCTACAGAAATTCTGAGATGATGAAAGAAGCTGAACAAGCTGTTTATGACAATAAGAGTGGATTATAGAGCCCTGGAAAGTGGGTGAATTGGTAGCTTTTTATTGCACAGCTGAAAACTGGTGTTTATGTCTGAATAGCAGGTGACATAGCATGTGACACCTTGTTAGCACAGCAGAGAAAGAATGAGAAGAGAAAAATTCCTGGAGCGGCTTCTATAGTATTAATTAACTGAGAAATGAAGCATGAACAGCAGAAGACAAAAGAAAAGGATGAATGTAACTATCATGACTGAAAATGGAGAAATAAGAAAGGCTACAATAGAAGAGAAAATGGCTTACTTTTTTCTAAGCTGTGCCCATGTTTTAAGCTGTGTATTTCTGTACATAGCTGGGGTTTGTTAAGTTTTACCTATCACCTATGAGACTTGATTACAAGAGTTTCAAGAATTAACAAGAGCAGTTGGTATTCTGCTTAAATATTAATACTAGAGAAATAACAAGCTCAAAAACACGCTAACCTCGTTACTCTGTGGCAACTCCTCTGTGTCTGATTCCAGAAAGAATGGAGAATTAATGAAGTCAAGGCAGAAGATCTGTAGTTACACTGATCAAAAACCTACTTTTCTGTCTATACCTGCATATTTGTCAGCTTTGCTGTCTAGTTTCTAGTCTCATTCAGTGCATGAAACAAGGGAATGTTCATATATTCAAGGATTTCTTTATTTTTCAAAGAAATTTTGTAAATCATGATTAAGGCTTCTCAAGATGAAAAAAAACATGCATCCCTATGGTTGAGAATTGGTGACTTTATAGAGAATAGTTGTTCAGGTTATTTTGGAGTCATTTAAGAAACAAAAAAACATTAAAGGTATCCATTTATAAACAGTTGGTTTGATATTCCACTTAAGCTGGAAAAAAAATAGGGATTTGAATTGTAAATTTCAGTCAGTGTATGCACATTTACTGACATTGCATTCTCCTCCATACTTATCATTCAAGTATTAACTTTCGTCTTCAGGTGTTGGATTATTTTTGCTATTGATGAATGATGAGTTGATATCAAGCCCCTATTCACACTGCAGTTTACTCTCTATTTCTCATTGATCAGTTTGAGAGGCTGACAACTTTATAGCCAGGCTATTATGTAAGAAAGATGTCGAAAGAGAGGCTTTGCACTAGTTGCATCCAGGGCCCCGTATCTCAAAAGCATCGCACATTGCGACCGTGTGCAAGCGTCTCAATTCCATAACTCGCCCATACTCGCCCCATATAATACATTGTAGCATTCAATGTGATATCGCTATTTGCAATAGGCAATGCTTTCGAGATATGGGCCCAGATTAGCAGCTTCATAGTTTAGTTTGTCTTAACAGTTGGAAAAGAATTTAGAAAAGGCAAAGAAAAAAGAAAGAAAACAGTAAAATTGTTACATGTGGCGCAAAATGTGAGAAAGGACTAAGCGCCCTCTGTTGTTTAGATAGTAAGTAAGAACTCTGTCTTTTCTCAGTCTGAATAGATAAAATTCAGTTATTGTTCTTAATTTGTACAGTAAATTTATGAATATTTGTTTAATACTTGGATTTTACTCTCTAATAATACTTTATAAAAGTAAACCCTATGATTATGAATTCGCTAGTATTGTTTGGTAAAAGAAAACATCCTATGGTTTGAACTGTTGAATGTAAGAGTGAAATGTGTTTATAGAAAGCTTGGGATTTTAATTCTATTTTTACTGATTTTTACAGCCACGAGCTACTTCCACAGAAGTGCAGAATTCTGCGTTTTTTAATTCATTTCTGATGGTTCCTGAGATTCCCGACCTTTTAGGTGTTGGATCCCATGATAATTGTTGTTTTTAACTGTTAAGCGATTAAGATTTTATTGCATGGTATTAATGAGTTTGTTTTTAGCTAATAGTATGAAATATATAAAGCTGGACTAGGTAAGTGTGGATTTTAAAAGGGATGTTTTGATTTCTTAGTAAAAGTCTAAAGTTGAGGGGGTCTTTTTTTATGCAGGACATTTATGTCAGGTTTTTTTGTTGATTTAAAGTTTTGGTGGGAGTATAACAGATCAGCTTGTTAAAACACCAAGACACTGCTGGACGGCTATTTATCTGATTTTAATGTACGCGAAACAACTTTTCAACAAATCCATATTAAATTTTTCTTCAGCCAAAGTAAGTAATCTGTGACATTTTGCAGAAAGTGCTTTGCCAAAATGGGCCTGAACATTATTTATTATAGATCATATGAGAGGCTTTTTTTCATTTATTGCCTTTAGCTTTGTTTTTAATTGCCATAAGTGTGTATAATTTAACATAAAGTGTTTCTCTGTCAGGCTGACTTCAAACTGAGGGGAAAAAGAGAGTTCATGGTTTAAAAAAAAATCAAAATATCTAAATGTCTTAGCCCTTTGCAGTGAGGGGGGAATTCTTATTGGCATTTACTGTACATTGCTTATAAATTTGTATTTTCGTATGTGTTAGTCTTTTTGTATGTAGTTTATAGCTTGGAGAAGAAAACTCTTCTCTGTAGTAATATCGTTGTATTGGATAAGATCACATGAGCTTTGTGAACGGGTAACTATAGCAAAATACTAAGTATTGAAATGGAATTTGCTGGATATCTATGTATACATAACAATAAACCCTCTATCTTCAAGGTCAGTTCTCCATCACAGGTGGGAGAATTAGAAGATGTTATTTCAAAATGTTGAATTTCTTGATCAACCCTCACAGGAATTTTAGAAAGAAATAGATGCCATTTTCAACTTGGCTTTTAGATAATGACTGTTGTAAATGAATAAGCATCAGTGTTAAGCTAAAGGCCAACTTACACTGCTAGTTTGAAGCTGAGCTACCACCTAGTCAGGTTTGTGTTGTTTGCCCTTTTGAAATAAACCCTGTGTATATTTTTCCCCAGTCTCTCCCATTAGAAAAAGGCATCAGTACAAGAACCTGTTTAGCTCAGCTACCTGTCTGAAAGAAAAGAAGCTCAGCTTGTAGTTCTCAGTGTGTGTTGGTCTTAAGGCGCAGCTGCATCAGACTCCGCGCACTGTTGCAGTTTTGTAGGTGTTCATATATTAACAATGAAGTATTTTCTTATTTTTCTAATCAATAAGGTGTTTTTTAAAGAAAAGTACCATTGGTGCTTGCTTGATTTGTAGTTCAGCAAGCATTCTGTAGAGGTGTTTTTTTTTCCTTTTTTTTTTTTTTACTTAACAGTCCAACCGGGGGTAGATGTTTGCACAAATGTTGCTTTTTCACGTATGTGCACTTCTTGTATGTTGTATTTAAAAATCATGAAAAGAATTTTAATATTATTCCTAGTTTTGTTGCCAGGGGAACGAAATCAATACAATACAATAAAAGCAGAAATGCCCCAAAAATGTAACAGCAGATGACTCGACTTGTTTTTGCTCTAAAATCTCAAAAATTGGGAGAAATCCAGCAAACTTTACCACAGGTATTTATCTCATTTTGAGGCAGTTCCTGACAATACTGTAATATACCAAAGTACCCTGAATAAACTTTCCAATTAGTCATTTCCATCAATCTTTATACATTGAGGAAGCAGAATAAAAATTACAGACTGTATACTTTATGTTAACTTCATTGTCTATCAATATAAAAACTTTTTTTATTTTACTAACATTCAACAAACTATCACACATTAAGCGCAAGTGGTCGGAATAAAATGCTGGATTACCCAAGATTTTAGTCTATCGGCCCGCAGCCTGTCCCTGCGCCTTGACGCAGTATGGGGAGTGGAGGTTTAAGGTGAAAATGGCGGCCCAAACTTGGTTAAAATTAAAACGGAATAAAATAATTTTATTGAAAAATAATGAATCCTCCGACGTCATTGCGGGGTCAGAGACACCTGTGACCACATCAAACTACCGCTCTGAACACTGGACAGTCATGTCCGTCGCCCACATTAACTAGTCCATTTGGAATAAATGAAATAAAAATAAATGAACCACAATAGGAAGAAAATGTTAGAACTGGTTAGTTGACACCTTCCCTCCTCTTTACTGTACTTGAGCTTAATTGGAGTGAAGGCACATTTACATTAGGTGGAAGGAATCTTGTCAGAGTGCGAGCCTGGTTTGCACGCGGCCTGGTCCAGATAAGATTGCACTTTGTGGTGATTTTTTTAATACATTAGAAGGCAATTTGTTCTTTTGTGAGCTCATTTGATGTCTGTGTGAACCAGGAGAGAGCCTGTTTGTCCAGTGTTTCCATGTCTGCACACGCCTTATCCGGACCTACGCCAAACTGGACGAGAAAACCTCAATTTTCACAAGTGGTATTCTTCCTTTCCTTCATTCAGGGTCTTTTACCGTTGACCTTAACTTGGTAGTGGTTATGACTTTTTACCATCAAAATAATTACTGGAGTTGATTTTAAACCGAAATTATACCCTGTAAAGTTTGACAGGCTGTCTTAGAAAAGAACATGGGCGCTAGCCACGGGTAATGATAAACACGTAAAAGTGTTGTTGAAACAACACACAGTGGAGGTTTTAAAGGCTCCAAACATTGTCTCCATTCATGAATGTTATGAATTTTAATTAATCACGCTTCATTCTTTAAAGCATTATGTCCAATTCATAAAGGAGGAGAGGAGTGGGGGAGAGAGGGTATCAAAGGTCACGAGACACGGGAACTGTGGCAGATTAATATTGCACTGTTTTATGCCATGTACTGCTCCCACCTATCAAAACTGACCAAAGTCACTGTCAATGATAAATGCTCCCGGGGCATCGCGTACAGACTTTAGTTTGGAAATAGAGAAACTGACACGTTTATTATCAGCGGTATTTACACTTTTAAATGTGCTCCACGCTCCAAAAAAAAAAAATTAAAATCAGTCTTTCAAAATTGGTTTAATTTATTGCAATGTAATTACCCCCGTTTTTAGACCAAGTATTGTTATTTCATGTCACGTTTTTTCATCCTCCTTGTGAGCGCGTGACATTTTAAAACAACGTCATTACTAAATTCTTTGGCCAGAACAAGTTACATCTGAAAATAGGGTAGGCCTAACTTACTACGACATCTCATTTTCTCAGGACATATTGCATTAAATCCAATTCGATACACACTCTTTTTTTTTTTCTTCTTCGGAGAGCCAGTCATTTAATACAACTCTCCATCTGTTTGGCCCTTTATTCGAGTCAGCTCACATATTTGTTGAAATTTATGGAACTTTGCTCTTTGACTCCTGCTTGTTCGCGATTGGGACTGGGTCGCCATAGAGAGAAAACAAGAACGCTGCTTTGAATGGCGTTAACGTACGACAAGAGCACGCGTCTTATTTTAATCCTGACAAGTCTGAATGTGGTACATTTAGTGACATCAAATGGTCACGGTAAGTGGACACGTTAAGAGTCGAGAGGGTGGGAATACCGATTTGGTGGATTGGGGGGAGAGAAAGAGAGAAAGAGAGAGAGAGAGATGCATAGTTAAAACTTAACGGAAGAGCTGAAAATAATACTAAACGGACATACGTTTAAGGTCATGTCCGGAGGAATTTGGTCTCTCCCACACGAGTTTGTTTTCTCCACTTAATTCAGTTGTGTGCGTTATGTTGTAGATGACAATGAGGCTTCAATTTGGAAACAAGTGATATATTGAAAATAATTTTAAAATACCCTAGCTTGGACTGCTCGGAAATATAACCTCCCTTAGAGGGTTTCAACGAAGGTCTGAGCGTTGACAGACATGGTTATTTCAAGTTCAACAGTTGTTCTGCTAGTGCCTATACTGCCTATGAGTATTTTCTGCTTTTTTTTTTTTTTTTTTTTTTTTCTATTCACAGTGTGTTTGTGTGTGCGGGCGTGCACGTGTATTTGTGTGTCTGTTTGCATGAGGGAGACTAAGAAAATACACGTGTAACTGATGTAAGAGAGAGATTTTTCTGTTCTATATATAGCTTACGTTTCACAGAATTGATGTGAAAATAATGAATTCTGAGTAATTACGTATATAATATTGGAGTGTCCCGAGTTACGTTAAACGGATAAAAACTCTTCATATGAGATCCAAATTTTCGCAGTAATACATTGCAAACAACACACGGAAATATAATCAATTCCATTTTAACACAAAACGGGGGCTATATGAATTATTCTTGTCATCGGAGCACGTGGACTTCATACATGTAGTTGGCTACCTTTGTAATAGTCTCTAAAGATTTTAACTAAAAAAAACACATTAAAAAATCGACAAAACCTTAACTGTCGGAACGGATACATAAACCATTGATAAGCACGCATACGTTAACCCGTTTTTGTTCCTTTTCGCCAAAATGAGGAGCTATTATCCCTTCAGCCATAGCGATATGCAACCAAGATAGCACAGTGTTTGCAAGGTGGCAACAATACAAACCGCGCCGTTGTTTTTATGAATATCCAATTCTATATTAATTTAACAACAGTTTACAGATTTTAAATGTTAAAACACACATTTACACTATATAGCATAAATATTTTATATTTCGAGTGCAATTTTATCGGCGTAAATTATTATCAATATCAAATTATTATTAGTCAACAAGAAAAGAAATATTACCAAATACTGTCTAATAATCAATTTTCACTCTCTCCGTTTTTCCGTCCGTTGTTTTTCCAACAGAGATCAAGAGTCGCCGGCATCTCCATAGGCAACGCCTCCCAAATAATAAGAGAAACAAACCAAATATTGCAAAAATAAAATAAACATAAGGAGAATTTAAAAAGTCTAAAAATAAATCGGAAAAATCTGTGCTCTTTTCATCGCCAGTACATCGCGTCCTCCAAGGCTTGAAATTATGAATTTGTGACAGATCTGTGGGTTGTTTCATCCATTGGACAAGTTCGTGCACTGTAATGATATAGACGTCCTTGTAAGAGGCGACGTATTCTATGAATTGTTTGACGATGTCCACGCCCTCGGGGTGACTTTTAAACCAGCTGGAGTGAAGAAGCAAACACAAGGGGGCGCGGTTGTTCTCATAGTGGAGATTAAAATTATGGACGTAGAATTCAAAGACGTCTTCATCCTCGGCAAAATCACACCCTAAAGCGTCGGCCCCGTTGCAGCTTTCTCCCGCCTCTTTCCTGAACGGGCGATTCACGGGCACTGCCCAAAACCCGGGGTAGGACCCCCTGGGACAGTTCAGGCTCCCCACGCGGCCGTTGTCGCAAACCGTCCCAACTTGAGGCGGGAAATCCAGGGTGTACGGAAACAGCGGAAGGGATCGGTCCTTAAAATGGGGCGAGCCTGTTAGCATTGATTTATCGTACACGAAATTATTATCGTACAGAGCTTTATACATGTTGTCTCCACCAATGCTCATGAACGGTACTCGTACACCAACTAAATCGCCTTCTGGTATTCCTGCCCTTTGGGAGATCTTCCGTCGTTGCCCTACCATCTCTTTCACGTAGTCTTTATATGTAGCGTTCCCACTCCACCATTGCTCAGGGTAGGTATGACTTAGGGAGTGCACCGCTATTTCAAGACCTCGACCATGGAGCTCTTTCGCCACTTCATACTGGGTCTCTAGACCGAATCCGTCAGCGGCGTCCGACACGAAGAACGTGCCCCCTATGGGGCATCCGTTGGGATTCTTGTACTTGGGATTGAAGATGGCCCGGAAGTAGTCGATGTTGACAGAGTGTACTGCGTCGTCGAAGGTGATTAAGATTACCTGAGGCGTCTTGGACGGTTCGATGTTCCCCGGGGGACTCGAGCTTGGGCAGTGACACTTGGGGATGTGACACTCGGACGGGTCACACGTCTCAGCGTCCGGTGCGCGTCCCAGTTCAGCCGCGTTAACTGTCCCAGCTCCTTGAAGAAATAGACACAAGCTGACGTAGTGATAAACCCACAGTAGAAACGGCAGCGAAGAATATAAATTCTTCATTCCGATCTCGTATCTCATAAAACGTGGGGCATAAAACCCTGAGAGAGAGAGACAGCGAGGCAAATACGTCGCGACAAGTGATAAAGCTCCCTTATGGTATTATAAAGTGCTTGCCAGGTGAAGGCCAAACCATCAACAGGATATTAAAGCAGTGTCACTGTGTTAATACTATTTAGCGTGGTACAGTCCCAACATTATTCAGAAACGCGTGAGTAGGTCTTCCACAGATGTGTCATTTTGTCTGTTTAAGTTCATTTCTCTGTGACAAGCCTTTATTCATTCTCCGGCTTTAGAATATGGCTAACACTGAGTGTGGTTTTACATGTTCAAACGAGGACTTTTCAAGAACTAACTTTACCTTAAATCAAAGTTACATATAAATCAACAAGCACGCGAGTGTCCGCTCACACGTTAAATTGTCTCGAATAATAATAAGGATAGGTTATGTACTTTCAGCGTACTTTGTTCAGTCGACTCCAGTTCTCCCTAAATAAAGGAATTAGATAAGAATGATCTTATACCTTTATTGTCTCTTTCCAAATTTTATCAGGCTTGCGACCTTATTACCGAAATAAAAACGACTCGTGAACTTCAAATCCCACACAACAAATATTATTTCAATTTTCTTTCCGAGATGCACTGGACTTAGTAAAGTTGCGGTTCAAATCACTAGTACATCTCCATCAGGATTTTGGCTATTATTCAAAATCCACTTCACTCTTAGTCTAGATGGTTAAAAAATAGATGCATTTCATGCATTAACTTCGATCTAATTTCACAGTAGACTCTCTACTATATGTAGGCCTACGTATGCCCCGTTAAATAAACTGACGCGATAGGCAGCGAATTCAGTTGAGTAAACTGTTAAATAACGTCACGAAATATAAACAAGGAAATTCAATGCACGTTGCGGCGCACCTGCACGTTTAGCTGACACATTGACCGGATGATAAATCTTTCAACCACATAAAACGACCCATTGAAAATTACCGAAAAAAAATGAGAAAAAACACATAATTTGAAAAAGATTTCATGAAATTGTCATATATTGCCTCCGTTTTTCAATAAAATCTGACTTTAAATTAAATAAATAAATAATTAATTAATTAATTTTTTATTTATTTATTTACTTTTGCTAATATCACAGAGATTGTACTTCAGTGAACTCAGTAACTCAGCTTATTGGACTGTGAATCTTTTTATAAGCGCGATTCATAGCTAGTTTTATCGACTAACAAAATGTATAGGGTACATGTAGCTTCGTGCTTTGGACGAGAAAAATATGATATGGAAAGACGTATAAATTTGATCCTCAAAGATTCTCAGATTCAGAATATTTAGAAAACAGTTTTCTAAATTAATTGGTAGTTATTTTGTAGTGAGCCGTCGGTCCTACGGGTTCTCAAAAACAGTATTACTTGATAACTTATCAGTGTCTTATTTTTTCATTCACCAGTTCAAGTAAGTAGGTAATCTTATCAACTTCCTAGATCAAATAAAATAAATATCACGTTCAATTTTCAGGATCATGTCTGGATGTTGGATGTCGCCACCAGGGGCGCTGTATCACACAAGACGCGAGCAATCAGAGTTGGTGTGAATGCGACAGAGGATACAGAGGAGAATATTGCGAGAAAGAAACGTACACGGGTATCATATTTCAAAATGTTTTTTCGTGACCATTTTTTGTCGAAATATTTTTTGTTTAAAAAATCAACCTGTTTGTATTTTATTTCGCACAGAGCCTATATATTTTTTTATTCTTCTTGTTTTCTTAACAGTAAAAAAACATTATCATGTAATCATGTCGTATTGCGACCCGTTATCCTATGAGTAGCCTTTTTTTCGGGGAGGGGGGGTGGGTCAGATCTTTTGAGAAAATCTCACATTATATGCCGTATATTTTGAGACCAAGACCCTGATCGTGCAGAAACCGTTTTCTCCTTATCCTGCTTCTGAAACTCAAACGTCTTCAGTATAGTATTTGAAGACCAAAACTAGAAGCTAAATTCTAGTATTATAAAATAACTTGTTCATTTTCTCAGCAAAACCGCACAATTCATTTCGTAGGACACGTGAATGTATTTTAATTGCTCCCGTAACTAATGGCTCGAATTTCTAAAGATAAATTAACCTGCGGCTGAAACCAACATGGCAAATAAACTATTCAGTTACACTTCCTGACTAAGACATAACAAACAAACTCTTAATCTCTGCTGCGCAGAATACCACAGCTATGTGGAACGCAGGACGTCCTGCTGACAGACCTCATTAAACAAAACGCAGAAAAAAAATTTATGAAGAAATTTGTTACTCTCTTGCACAGCTCTCGAGTAGTGAGTAGTGTTGTCCGAGTTGGTGAACTTTTTTTTTTGCTTGACTTGGAACGAAAACTAGAAGAGGAGACGAAGAGGCGATTATTTGATTTTTTATACTATGTTTACCTAACAGTTTACCTCACCAGTTTAACTAATGCTACTCGCTTAATAAAAACCCTGCTGCTGTTTTGTTTTAGCCCTGATACGATTTTTAACCTTCGCTTCTGTAGTCTCGTAAAAATGCGTGGTGCATTAAAAAAATACGCTGAAAAGAGGCTACAGCTGTCACGAGTAGGAGCTGAATGCGTGGGACTAAGTCATGTAACAGCATCGTGAGATAAACAAAGTTTTTTTCTCTTTTTGGTTTTGAAGAAAGAAAAACATACAATATAGAATTCCAAGTCATTGGGAAGATAAATGACTACAGGCGAAATCGGACATACTTCGAAGAGGAAATATCGACGCTGGTAAAATTTTATCTATTTGATTATCCATAAGATTCATCGGGGACTATTTTCGTAAGTTGCACCTAGAAGAATGGACCTCCGTATTTCTATTCAATTTCTTTAACCGGTTTTAGAAAATAATAGGGCAGTGGTTATCATTTTTAGGATGTACGTTTGTCAGTTCGGAAGGTAAGATATACAGAAGCATCTGTTTTAAAGAACATATTCAACTACATTGTGCGGGTTGAGTGTGCAATATTGGCATGTTATACGAAATCTTTTACTTTGAAGCAATTTTAAACGCCGAAAAAGTCATGCTAAAAGGAATTTTAATGGCGTTACATTTACTGTGTTTTCTGTTTCGTATTTTTAGCTCCTTCAAGTTTACCAAGGAGTTACCGGGAACGGCCTCGTCAACGTTGCCGTAAACAGCGTCAGAGAACGGTATGATTAGGTCTATGATGAATTTCTAGCATTATTGTCACATTTCTATTTAGGCAAGAATGATGTCTTGCTGTTTTCACATTTGATCATTTTCTGAAGTAAAAACAGCTGAGTTTCTCATGACTTCAATTTATTTTCTACCGCTCAGGATTTATAAGACGCAGTGTTTGAAGAACTCTGTACACAGTCATGCGCAAACAACAAATAAACTGAAAATTGAATACATTTAAATTTTGTTAATTCAAAAATACTAATAAATGAACAAATTAAAATATATAAATTAAAATAAATAAATAAATAAATAAATAAATAAAAGAAATTGATGGTGAAAAAACGCAGTCCGATCGAAACATACGATCTGTTTCAACAAGAACAAGAACCAAAAACCAAAGCCACAAAAACAACCATATAACGCACACAGGGGCGCGGGCTGACGTTAGCTGAGCATTGTTTTCCATTTAGGCAGACCACCGTCTCGGTGAAATCCACGCTGTCTTTCATCCTGTTCTTCGACCAGCCCTCGGACGCCAGAAGTTTAAATCTCCCCGGGGTATTACTACGGCAGCTGAAGATGGGGACACTAGGCCCGTATAACGTCACCACGCAGGCCTTTATCTACCAACAAGTTCAACCCAGCAAAGGTAAGAATTATTTATTTATTTATTTATTTATTTATTTATTTATTATTATTATTATTATTATTATTATTATTATTATTATTATTATTATATGTTTAAGACAAATGCCCGAGTAAACTCTCTTATTACTGTGAATCGCTTCAGAAATGACAGAGAGATGTTCACATCGCGTTCATTTACTACGGTGACACGAATTTCAACGGTATCGTTGTTTCACGATAGGGGGCCTATCTGCATATCTGCATATACGTGAATGTATCTTCTGTTTAACCCTATTCGATAATTTTTTAGTAATCAATCACTGAATGTTGCCTTTGGTGAACGCCAAAATGTGTAATTGCAGGAACGCCATTTACCACGGATAATGGCATGCTTCAGTTTTATTCAGAATTGCAATATGTCTTCGTCTAGGTGGTTAGCTACTGAACAAATGTAGTCTAAGTTGCAAAGCTTGAAATCTGTGGCGACAATTAAATGTAACCTAATTGTCCGCACTTCACTGTGACCTTCCCCTAAAGTTTACAGGCCGTTGTTATATATATGGCAGAGGGAAACAGGAAAAGATCAACGGAACTAATAAATTTCCTCTGACACAGTTGGTACATTTGTCCCCGCCATCCTATAGATAATGGTTTTTCAATGTAAAAGACTACTAGTCGTATGGACACCTCGGCCTAATGCACTTGTTCTATGTGTGTCAACGCCCGCAGGGATGAGACGGTCATTAAGTGAAAAAGTCTAAAAAATATGGCGTGGGATCCAGGGGGCATCTGCTTCGATCTCAAAAATGATATTTTTGGCTCCCCAAAAAATCGGAGATCAGCCGATAGTCGCCAAAATCCCATTACTGCGCCTGGAGTGAAATGAAACGGGGTCATTTTGATGGTTCTCCGCCCCAACTGATACAGTTTTGCTGAACTCTACAATGTCAAAGTTCATCTATTTATTTATTTATTTATTTATTTATTTATGTAGACTAAATAATTTCATCTCGACGTCATGTGTTGATATCTGTCGGTGAATAGATCAACCATTATATAACGCACTAAGGGTTCCGTAAATCTTGCATGGACGCCAAGAAAAAAATCCCACGTAAAAATCTCTATGACATAACTCAACAAGGGCGTTAACACAGGAAATCACTGATGTTGCGCGTCGTCAACTGTCGTCTGCCACAACTGAGCCGCGCTTTGAAATGATCGCCTGCTAATGAGTCTCGCATCATAGTAGTCCGTCACGTCAAGGAAACGGAAACAATTTACAAACTCAACGCCTGACATTAAATCGTCCCCGTTCGGCTAAGCTATAGGGAAGAATAAAAGGAACTTATTTATGAACGCTGAATGTTTCCCCACTCCTTATTTCAGATGGTGGTTTCTTTGGATCCAAAGCCGTCATCCAGTACATGACCATCACGGCGGCCGCTCTGTTGTTATTGTTCAGTATGGTTTTCCTAGCGTGTGCCTGGCTAACCAAGAGAAGAAATCAAGCCGAGCAGGCAAAGTAAGTTCTATCTCCTGTTTAATTTTTTTATTAATACATCTACCTGTGCACGTGTAGGCCTATTATAAAACTCATGTGTTGCTAAATTAGTTAAATTCATCCAATCTTTCTTCATTTCCCATGCTTTTAGCTCTATTTATTATCATTTTACCATAAGACCATTCGTTTCTTCGAGGAATTAGAATCTCAATACAAAAAGCCCAAAAGGTTCTTTTTCTTACTCTGTCAACTAAATAAATATGGAACGCATGAAAGACCATTAGTCTTATTTCTGTAAATTTGATAGGATACTCTCAACGCCTCCGGTTTCTCTGTTTTTTTTTTTTTTTTTTCTGAATCTACATAAAGACAAACACAAGTCCAGTGTTCTTTGATTTAGCTATTTTCTGATATTTTTCGTTTTCAGGAAATCTCAGTCAGTTGAAATAGTTTCAGATCCGGTCGGTGAGGGTCACCAAGGTAAACACTTTTTTTCAAAGAATTTCCTTTTTCTTTTTTAAATTGTTGAAAGAGTGAAATAGCCATGAGTCGAAACCCTGACTCATTCCCAGTTGGCAGTCGTAATATCATGTTAGAAAAATGTGTGCCCGACAGCAAATGCGCCATACAGGGTCTATTTTTATTCCACGATCGAAATATCAATTTGCTTTCAGCATTCTGTACATTCTTTCACACTTAGCCATGTAATGGTAATTGTTCCTGGTTTAGTGGGTGTATGTTTAATAAATCAACTGGTAAAAATTCAGAAGTATTTTGACTGAAAGGGTGTTTTGTATCTTTCCAAGGAGTTTTATTACTGTAGCCTATTTTCAAAAAGATAATGTTCTAGACTATTTCTTTATCTCCCGCCTTATATCTTTATAATTCTTTGATATATTCTAAATTTGGCTTTTCGTGTTGCTACAGGCGGTCTCTATGAAGACCTACGAGAAGAGCCGGGCGCCGTAAGTGTCTCCCTCGCTGCAGACCATCTCCCGACTCCACCACCGAGACCCAAATTGCAGCCTTCCCCAAGGCCGCCTGCTAGAGAGGCTACTTTACCCATCCAACACGCAAGACGGCTGTCTCACGAGCCTATTACACGATGCTCCATAGAGGAAACAGAATACATTAACTCTCCCCCTCCTGCTAACATTAATTCGAGAGCCGAGAAGGGGTATGCTTTACGGGGTAAAGGGCAGAACTTCTACGAAGGAAGAATTGAGGAGTCTCTTAAACAGTGTTCCTGCGACGAAGCAGATAATAATCATTCTCTTCCCATCACAGAAAATGAATATGTTCCGATGACAGGGAGTATCAAAACTAAAAAAATAAACAAAAATGAGAAGGATCATGTTGAGTATATCATCATGAAAGACGACTGCGGCAAAATCGAAGCAAGCGATCGGGGGCCCAAGCTGAAGGCGAAACAAAACGACAGTAATGAAAATATATACATAAATAACAACCCTCCCCAGGAGAACGCGTACTTAGAATTAATCGAACAGGAATCTAATAATAATTTCTTCCAATTTCCAAGACCGGGAAGTCGTCTGCATGCTAGTATGGTGGAGTCATTCGAGAAAACCGCAATGATGAAAAGCCCAAGGTCAAGGTTACCCGCGAGCGCAAGGTCATCGTCAAAGTCACCACCCAGGTCAAGGTCATCTGTGATGTCATCAAATGGGGGTTATCACAAAGAGTTAATGTCAGAAGAGATTCCAGGCGTTGCAAATCTTTGCAAGGTTGACTATAACAGGGGGAATGGGACCCCTCATCCTAAACAAAACAACATCATTAAAGCCTGCACGCTACCAAGTAAGCTCATGAAAAAGGAAGTCCAAAACACACCCAACGCCAAATCTCAAAATATTAAACTGAAGTGTGCACAGCATTCTAAAGCTCCCTCTGATTCCAGTGTGGTTCACTTATGGCGAACTCCACACAATGAAGTCATACAGACAACACCTTCAACAAAACGTTACTGCAGACAGAAGAAAACTGACTCTCTTTGTCCACCGCCTGATGACTA